CTCCATGCTGTCCACATCCCTCCTGAAGTGCGGTGCCCAGAACTGGACGCAGTACTCCACCTGCGGCCTGACCAGCGTCTCATAGAGGGGGAGAATCACTTCCTTGGACCTGCTTATGATGCATGTGTGGATGCACGGCAAGTTGCGGCTGGCCTTGCTGACTGTGTCCCCACACCGTCTACGCATGTTCATTTTGGCATCAATAATGATTCCAAGATCCTTTTCTGCCTCTGCACTGATGAGAAGGGAGTTCCCCAGCCTGTAGGTCTGCTGATGGTTCTTCCCTCTCAGGTGCAGCACCTTGCACTTGTCAGTATTGAAACCCATCCTGATCTCATCTGCCCGCACCTGTAATCTGTGCAGGTCCTGCTGTATCCTGTCCCTCCCCTTCTAGCATGCCCACCTCACCCCAAATCTTGGTGTCATCTGTGAATTTGAACAGGTTGCTTTTCACCCCCTCTTCCAAGTAACTAACAAAGAAATCGAACAGTGCGGGCCCAAGGACCGGGCCCTGGAAAACCTCACTGCCCACATCACTCCAGGTCGAATATGACCCATCTACCACCACTCTCTGGGTGTGGCCCTCCAGCCAATTTGTGACCCCTGTGACTGTGTAGGCATCAATGCCACAGTTGCCTAGCTGTTTAATGAAAATGAGGTGAGAGACAGTGTTGAAGGTCTTCCTAAAGTCCTGAAAGACTACATCCACCGCAACACCTGTGTCCAGGGATTTTGTGACCTGATCATAGAAGGCAATCAGGTTGGTCTGACAGGATCTGCCCCTAATGAACCCATGCTGGTTGCCCTTGAGCATCCTCCCCACTGCTGGCCCATCAGAGATGTGCTCCTTGATAATCTTCTCAAACACCTTCCCCAGGAATGAAGTAAGACTAATGGGCCTATAGTTGCCTCTGTCCTCCCTCCTCCCTTTTTTGAAGATGAGGACCACATTGTCCCTCTTCCAGTCATCCAGCACCTGGCCAGAGCACCATGAGTGCTCATAAAGCTGTGCTAGGGGACCCTTGATAACCCTTGCCAATTCCCTCAGCACTCTGGGGTAGAGATCGTCAGGACCTGATGATTTGAACATGTCCAGCCTCTCCAGAAGTTCTCTAACTTGTTCCTCCCTGACCCTAGGCCTGTCAGAGTCTCTTCTGAGCCCATCCCAGATCTCAGTAGGGGAGTCCCGGTCCCTGCACTAGAAAATGGAGGCAAAAATTTTGTTAAAAAGGTCTGCCTTTTCCTCTGGTGCAACCACCAGATTACCAAGCATATCCCGCAGGGGCCCCACGTTACCTGGTGCCTTCTTCATACTCCCTATGTATTTAAAAAAGGACTTTTGGTTGTCTTTGATCCTTGATGCTAGCCCTAGCTCTGTATCTGCCTTAGCTTTTCTAACAGTCCCCCTACAGACCTAAGCGGTGGACATATACTCCTCTTTGGTGATAGCCCCTCCCTTCCACTGGGTGTACACCTCCTTTTTGGCAATCAGGTGTTCCTGAATGCCCTTGGTGAGCCAGGGGGGATTTTGAGCACTCTTGCCCACTTTGATTCTCATTGAGACTGTCACCCCTTGGGCTAGGAGGATTGTCTCCTTAAGGAACGACCACTCATCTTGGGCACCCAGTTCCCCAACTCTCCAGGACCCCAGTGCCTCTCCCACTAATCTCCTCAACTCATTGAAGTCAGCCCTCCTGAAGTCCAGGGCTGCTGCCTTGCTGCAGGCCCTTGACACCCTGCGCTGGATGGTGAATCCCAGCAGGCGATGATTGCTGTTGCCCTGGTGGTTGAGCACCCACAGACCCCTCACCATGTCATCTCCCATGGCCAGGATCAGATCCAGCAAGGCATTTCACCTGGTAGGACTGTGCACCTCCTGGGGTAGATGGAGGTCCTGTATCTGAGCCAGGAACCTCCGTGAGAGGTCAGACCTGGCCAACTGCTCCTCCCAGCAGATGTCCAGGTAATTTAGATCACCCATGATGACCACGTCCCTTGCCTTAAGTGCCTCCGTGAGCTGATCGGAGAATTCACGGTCCAGCTCTTCCCCCTGGTTGGGTGGTGTGTAGTAGACAGCCACCGTTAAGTCTCTTCTCCCTGCTCTGTCCCACCTGTACAGCCTGTAGCCCTTGATGTTCACCGCCCAGTCATGGGATGAATCCCACCAGGTTTCTGTGAGCCCTACTATGTCTGGGTTTATACTAGCAGAGGGCAAGTTCCACCTGCTTATTCCCCAAACTATGCGCATTAGTGTAGAGGCATTTAAGGCCTTGAATTGGTGCGTGTGCCACCCCCCGATTCCCAGGAATATCTGGACCCCTGTCTCTTACCTGGGTACTCCTTGTGCACATCACCTGTGTTGGTTGGGAGGTGTCCTCAAGTCCTCCTGCGGCCCCATCCTCCGGCAAAGCTAGTTTAAAGTGTGCTGCATGAGATCAGCCAACCTGGAAGAAAAGACACGCTTGCCCTTAGGGGAGAGCTGTAGCCTATCCCACCCAAGCAAGCCCCCTGCATGAAAGTATGGAGCATTGTCCAGGAACCCGAGGCCTGCCTGGCTGCATCAACTCCGTAACCGTCGGTTGACCTCACCAATGCAGGCCTAGTGTGTCTGTCTGCATCTACTCACCAGGAGAACAGAGAAGAATAGCACCTGTGAAAAGCTGCAAGCACTGTTCTCTCTCTGTGGGGCTGGAGACAGGTTTGATGCCTCTCAGTTCAAGGGCACAAGATAAGGGAACAACCTTAACTAAAAAGCCCTGCAGGTGCTGCTCCATGTGAGAGACGTGCACTTTCCACCCACATTCAGGTGGAAGGGGACAAACAGGCCAGCATGTGACTGGGTTGTACTTTGCACCCCAGGTGTGCGGATTTGGGGAACTGCGTGACTCGGATGCTGCCTTGATCGTGGCAGGGATCAGACTCTGTGCATCCGAGCTGCTGAAGGGACATGATTTAGTGCTGAATGTGCTGCACACCTCTGCTGAGAAGAGGAAATGGAGGTGAAACAGCTGCAAGCGCTGAGTGATCCTAGACCGCACAGGATGCACGGCCACTTTTAATAAACATCCAGCCATAAGGTCAGGGGCTGGGCAGTGCCCTGCTGCCAAAAGAGAAGGAGAAGGAGAGGTGAGGAATTAAAGGTGGCATTAAATGTGGCCATAGCCCTGCTGTAAGGACCCCCGACACAGGGATAAGATGCCCCAGGCGTGGGGACCGCAGACGCCTGGTTACAATGTGCAGGGGAGACAGCTGGACCTAACCAAGGAGGCCTGACCTATGGCTGGGAAGAATCGAGGTGGCTTGTAGCAGTGACCCACCTGCACAAGGGGCCAATGCAGTCTGGGGGGGCACGACTACAAGCATTAGGTGCAGGGCACTGGAGGGGATTGCGCTTCTCTGCTCGCACTGGTTCGGCCTCAGCTCCAGCATTGTGTGCAGTTCTGGGCTCCACATTGACGAAGGACCTGCAATATCAGAGTCCCAGAGCAGTGGAGCAGAAAGCAGGGGGGGCGTGCGGCAAAGCGCAGAAGGCTGACAACTCCCCATTGTGGAGCACAGGCCTGATCATCCCTGCCCAGTGTCTGTCCAACCTCCCCTTGAACACCTCTGGTGATGGGGAGCCCACAGCGTCCCTGGGCGCCTGCTCCACCCCCTCACTCGTCTCACAGTGAAGAACTCTTTCCGGGTCTCCAATCTAAATGTACTTTGCTGCAGCTTCAAGCCATTGGTGTGTGTCATCCTCTCCGGTGCTTTCCCTCTTCTTTAAGGCAGCCCTTCCAGTATCTGCAGGCTGCTGTCATGTTCCCTCTTAAGCACCTTATCCATGATCTGAACATGCCCAGCTCCTTCAGCCTCTCCTATGACTTGCCTTCCTTAAGCATCTCTGTAGCTACCTCTGGCCCCCCTCTAACTTCTCCACATCCCTTTTAAAATGGGGAGCAGAGACCGGCACACAGTATCTGGATGAGGCCGAACCAGTCCCGAGCAGAAAGGCGCAATCACCTCCCGTGTCTTGCACCTAATAATACTATGGATTCAGTCCAAAGACACATTGACCTTTTTGGTTGCATCACACGGCAGACTCAGCATGAGTCTGTGGTCTGCCGAGACTCCCAAGTGCTTTTCCATAGAGCTGCCATATTGGTGCTTTTGATTATTCCTTCCAACATACAGCACCAGACCATCGTCTGCATTGAATGGCATCCGGTCAGCTCCAGCCAGGTTTTGCTCACATCCTCCAACGTGTTCACAATCCTTCCTAGTTTTGTGTTATCCACAAACTTGCTCCAGAAGCTTTCTGGGCCAGAGCATGGGCATCTCTCTAGGAGATTCAGCCTGGGTCGCTGCTGGTCCTGATGCTCTGCGCAGGGATGCACCGGGCAGGGCTGCCACGGGCAGCAGCTGTGTTGTTTGAGGTTCTCTGTGGCCAGGAGGCCGGATGGGATGGGCACAGCTGGCTCTTGCCTTCCCCGTGGCTCCTGACTGCCTGAGCAGGGGAATCCCTGAATCAGAGGGGGTGACAAAGGTCCTGGTCATTCAGCAGCCAAAGGTAGGACGTCTGCGTGAGACCAGGTGGTGGCTCTGTAGTGGCCGATGAGAACAGCACGCAGGGTCCAGCTGGGGCTGGAGCCATTTCCCAGTGACGCCGTCCCCATATTCCTTCTGCAGAAAAGTGCGGAGAGCCAGTCCCCAGGGATGTCCGGGCTGAGTTCACACCCAAACAGCCCTCCTACAAGCCAGGAGACTCGGTGACATGGAGCTGCCCTGAGGGGTATCGGCCCTCGCTGGCCAACAGCACATGCACGCAGTCAGGGAGCAGGAGTATGTGGACTCCGACTGCCTGGTGTGTTGGTGAGTTTGAGACTCCCCAATTCACGGGGCTCCCAGGGGCTCTGGTGTCCTGCGTTGTGGCCCCTGCTGCACCTGGGCTTCCTCCCACCCGCCTTTCTCCCCGCACAAGCCTTGGGCATCTGCGCTGACATCTCAGCCGCTGCCATGGTTCGGGGTAGCTCTGGTCTGTGCCCCACAGCCAGGGCCTAGGCTCCCTGCACTGGATACCGCCAGGGCCAAGGGCAGGCAGGAGCTGGCAGAGGGGCTCAGGGTGCACGTGGGGGGAGGCGCAGGGCAGCCCAGGAGTGGCAGGTCAAGGGGAGAGCAGACCGGGGAACGGGCCTCGCAGCGAGGGGTCCAGGGCTGTTGGTGTGGCTGAGGGAAGGGGCCAAATTCAGCCCTGGTGCTGGTTGCTGCTGTCCTTCATCAAGAAATGGAGGGGCTGCTCTGAGGAAAGAGGGCAGGGGAGCAGCTTGGGGAGCAGGCCGGGTGCTGGGGGGGGGCAAAGGGCCTGGTGGGTGCCCTAATGTTGTGGGGCATCGGGGGGGGATGTGGGCTGAGGGGTTTTTGGGGAAAAGATGGCTGTGGGCGGAGGGCACAGTCCAAGCAGGGGTGAACATCCTCTCAGCTGAAGGGAGAGGGGCTGGCAATGAGCTGTGCAGCTGGCACGGCCCTGCAGCGGAGGGAAGCATCATTAGGGAGCTGTGTTGCTGAACCAGGATCTTTCTTTCCCTCCAGGGTTTTGTACACTTAGTGGAAACTGGCTCCAGCTCATGTTTACAGAATCCCTCCCGACAGAGCTTGACGTCGGTAAGATGGTCCAGGTGAGCTGTCGCCAGGAGCAGTTTGAGTGGGGCTCAGGCTGGCTGCAGTGTGTGGACCGAGCCGGGCGTCCTGAGTGGGACACGAGCCACGTGAGGTGCATCGGTGAGTGCTGTGCGCAGGCGGGGGTCGATGGGGCTGGAGGGGGATGTGAGCCCAGGGCCGGAGCTCCCCACCGGAGCTGTGAGCAGGGGGAGGCCAGCGACCCTCAGAGAGAGACGTGTGTTGAGGTGGAGCAGAGATTCCTGCTCTGGTCCGTGTCCCTGGGGCGTCAGGAGACTGCCATTGCCAGCACCAGCCCCGGTCTGGCTCCCCAGCTGCAGGCTGGGTATTTCCCTGCCTGACACACTCATGCCCTGGCTAAAGCCCCCTGTGTCCTCACCAGCCCCCTTGGCCTGGGGCAGCTCTACTGGGGGTGGAGCACAGGGAGGACAGCGGGAAGGAGTGTTCCCCATTGCAGCCCTGTGGCCAAATCCTGCACCCTGCGTCTGTCTGGGATGTTCCTGGGTCAGTGCCAGGTCCAGGCCCAGGCTCCTCCAGCAGTTTGGGGTCCCTGGTGCTTCCCCATGTAGCTGGGTGTAAGCAGCCTGCTGTGGGGACTGGGGAGCCCCTGACACCCCCGTGCCTTTGGCTGGATGGGTGGGGATCCGTGCAGGACCTGTCCCCGTGCAGTGCTCCACTCCCAGTATAGCTGCTCCAGGTCAAGGGCTCTCGGAGCTCCTGGGAAATCATCCCACAGCCCCAGACCCATCCCGGGCTGGCCAGGACACATTCCTCACCAACACATGGGTCTTGTCTCTGCAGAGAAATGCCGCAGGCCCCAATGGGACCCCAGACTCCAGGTTGCACCAGACCGACCGTTTTATAGCCGGAATGAGAGGGTGAAGCTGAGCTGCCTGGATGGGTCTCCTCCATCGCTCCCTGTGATCTACTGTGCGAGGCGAGATCAGGATAAGCAGAATGTCTGGGCTGTGGGGGATGGCTGGAGCGGATGGCGCCACATTGAAGAGAACGTGATCTGTGCAGGTGGGTGAGGGAAGAGCTGCCCCTGCACTGTCGCACTTGGCTCACTGCAGCACAAGAACCAGCTTGGTCCGTGGAGTCTCCACGTCTCTCCGGCCAGCCGGGGCAGGGCCGTGTCGAGGGCTGGCTGCCAAGGGAGCCAGGAGGCCAAGGCCCTGCTGGGTGGGTTGTGGCAGCTGGCTCAGTTCCTCTGAGCCCCTCCAGCTCCCCACGGCCAGGCCACGTTCAGCTGCAGCGGGACCCCCCAGAGCTCTGCCCAGCACAGCAGTGCTCCAGCTGTGCAGCCTCACAGGCCAGATGAGTGGTGCAGGGCTGGTCTGTGGGCTGGGTCCCATGTGCAGGGCTGGTCTGCAGGCCTCATCCAGCCCATGCTCAATGCATGGGATCGGTCTGTGGGACAGACCCCATGCACCAGATCCAGCCATGGAGCAACCCCACGTGCCCATGCACTGCATCCAGTTGTGGCCCCATCCTGGGACCCAGCCTGACCATGTGCACCAGATCAAGCTGCAAAACAACCCCACACTTTTGTGTGATCCAGTGCATGGGACTGTGTCATCCAGCCCTCCATCTTCCAGAGAGAAATCATGCACTTGTTGTAAAGTCAGAGAATCAGATTCATGGACCTGTGTAAGAGCAAGCTGCACTACTTCTACCCAAGCTCCCTTCCCCAGGCCTCTGGATTTGGTCTGTGCCAAATGGGTCTGTAACATGGTTCACCTGCACATTCTCCAGGGTGAATTTCATCAAGCCCTGCTGACTTGATTCGTCGTAAGAACAGAAGAGCTGCCGTGTCCTGGGTCAGGCCGTGGTCCATCTTGCCCATCTGCTGTCACATGGTGGCAGGGAGCGGAGGCTGGAAGGGAGAGGGACCTGGGTTTGACCAGGGCTTTTCCCCTGTCCCTCTCTCTCTGGCAGACACCAGCATTCAAGGCCCAGGGAATTTGGATCCCTCTAACTGATCTACGATTTACCCCCGTGGCGGGCCAGTAGCGGGCGCTCCTGCACTGAGCCACCCACTGCGCTGCGCCCGAGCACCTACCGGGCTCCGAGTGCCTCCCTGGGGGTGCCTCACGTCTGGCCAGCTCCCTTCCTGGAGCACACCCATAAGTCTGGGGTCACGGCTGCCACCACCCAGGGGTCTGGACTGTTTCTGGGCCCTGTGCCTCCTGGGGTACACAGGCCTTGTAGCCCTTGAGGGTGCTTGACCCACTGCAAGACCTTGGGCTGCTTCCTTTAGCCTGAAGCACAAAAATGAGCTTCCCTTGGTCATCTGAGCCAAGGGGAAAAAAAAGGCATGCCCGAACCCTCTCCCAAGGAGTCCACCATGCTTGGTACAGTGGAGACCTTTATTGATTACAAAGAGGAGGCTTGGGGAAGGGTACAGGTTAGAGCTATGTCACAGAATAACTTTAGAGCAAACAGTGTGGCTAGGTAGCCTGTTCCCACGCTGCTGCATCACAGTAAGCAATGTTTCTAGGTAAGTGTCTGGTAAGTTACTCACAAGGATCATCCAGAGGCTGACTGAGATTCCCTCTGGAGGCTGGCAGTTCCTGGTGTGCCCATGAATTTCAAGAGAGATCCCCGTCTCTCTGCCTGGGCAGTTGTTCACGTGTTTCCCAATATTGCTCTCTTTGCTCATCTGGAGCCCAGCAGAGCTCCAGAGGCTGGCAGCTTACTCCATGCTTTCCAGAATGGCTCTCTCCCCTCCTCCTGGGCCGTCTGGGCTTTATATAGGCCTTTTGAGATCACCATGCTGATCCAATCCTGGCCAGGTGTTGTTTGATGCTAGCCAGTTAATTTGAACTGCATCATCATTACCTAGTGGAGTGACAGGGGCTCCTGCCTCCGCCCCCAGGCCATGAAGTTATTGCCAAAACAATTGAGAGGTTGAGTTTCATAGTTTCTAGGATCAGAAGGGACCTGAACAGATCATCAGGTCCGACCCCCTGCCCTTGGCATGAACGGGGAGATGCAGCAGGGAGAGGCTGCAGGTCCAGGGGTTGCTGCTGTCACTGGGGCCCTGGCAGGTGCCTGCAGCCAGCATGTGTGCGGGGGGCAGGGGGTCTCCCCTTGCGCTGTGTCCTCCCTGCAGATTAAACATGAGCTGTGCTAGGCTGAGGAGAGAGCTGGGTGACAGCAAAGGAACTGGGTGTATTTGGACCGCAGCCGCCCCTGGGCTCTGCACAGACATGGTGGTCACACATCTTTTGTCCGGGCTGCCATCAGTGAGCCTGGCCTCTTGACCCCCCCACCCCTGCACAGAGGTCAGGGCTGGTCTGACTGCAGCACCCTTCAGGGCCATGGTATCTGGGGGGTGGGGAGTAACCCCTATGTGATGTTTGTTCCACAGACAGCCCCAACATCACCACTGGGACACCAAAGATTACACCCACTAGCATTAGCCTCAGCTGGAGTTGCACACCCTCTAAGTCCTGCCTGAGCATTTCAGCCATGGAGGTCAAGTGCCTGCTGGCTGGACCCCAGGCCAACCCCTGCCGGAGGCCAGCAGACAGCGCAGGGGAGACATTAGGAGGCCGGGCTGGGACACTTACCTGCAGCAAGCTGCAACCCTTCACCCTCTACAACGTCACCATCTCTGCACGATATGGGGCTACCAGATCCTCCCCCAGTGCTGTCCTCTACACGCAGCTGCTCAGGACAAATGAAACAGGTAAGGGGTGGGGGGTGAATCGCAAGCCGTGGGTGGGAGCTGCGGGCTGTGTGCAGAGCTGGGGCAGGGGAGCAGCATGAGGTTGCTGCACCCATGGGCAGGGGCAGGGGCAGGGGCAGAGCAGTTCTTCTACCACTGTGGCTACCTGGAAGGAGCTGCATGAGCTCCCAGCCCCTGGTCCTCCCTAGAGAAAGGGCAGAGCCCAGCCACAGCTCCTTGGCCTGCAGCTGCCCACCAAGTGCTGAGCTGTGGGTGCTGGACCTGGCCCCAGGGCCTGGGCAGTGACCTGCTGTTCCTTTGCTCTAGTGCCAGGCCAGCCCCAGATAGAGCCGACGGACCCCAGCACCGGATCCCTGCGGTGGAAGCAGCTGCTGTCCTGCCACGGGGACATCCTCGGGTACCAGGTACTGGGCAGTGGACTCTAGTGCGTGGCCCAGCCAGGAGCCCGGTCTGCGCCGGGGGGCAGGGACTGCGCAGGGAGAGGGGGCAGGTGCAGTTGAGCATCTCCCAGGAGGCCGTAGGCACCACCTGCTGCTCTTCCTGACATGATAGGACTGACCCGCCCACCGCATGTCTGTGCTGTCCATGATGCTCAGAGGCTGCTTTCGCTGCCTTCTTCTTCTGTGTGGAATGAAATAATGGTGAGGGGCCAGCACTCGGCTCCTGCCAGCTCCTCGTGCTGCTGCATGTGTGGCCTGGCCCAGCCCTTCCCTGGGTATACCAGCAAACAGGCAGCCCCCTGGGAGGTGTCCTGGTGCATCAGGGCCATGGGATAGGTGTGGCTGGGTCCCAAGGTGGACCCACCATGCTGCCCATGCAGCGCAGGGCTGTGGGTGGGGGCACACTCCCTCCCGGTCCCGGGGACGCAGTGGGGTTCACTGCCCCTGTTACTGAGCGGGGATCGGGGCAGGCCTGAGTCCTCCCAGCGCTGCGCTGTTCCCTGCAGCTGAACATCACAGCTTGGAGAGAGTACAACGGCAGCTTCCGCGAGGCACGGGTGGTGCAGGTGAATGCATCGGTCGCTGAGTACAGACCTCCCCGCTGGAGACCCGGGACCAACTACACGGTGACAGTCCAGGGCCTAACAGCCGCCGGCCTCGGAAAGGCATCAAAATACGCCTTTGAAACGGAGATTGCAGGTAATGGACTCTGGCCCCAGAGATGTCCGATGGGGTGGGAGCAGCCGGAGCCCCCAGCAGCCCCCAGAGATCTCCATGGTGGCACCTGCCTCCTGTTTGCTGTGAGGGCCATGGCGTGTGCATGACCCACGCAGGAGGTGCAGCCGCCTGCATCTCGGATGCCTCTGTGCTCTGCTCCCTGGAGCCCCTCCGTAGGGCCTGAAATGTGCTGGCAGTGCTGCCAGCTGATGCTCTGCCCTCCGGGTCCTCCCTCCAGATCCGGACATCCCTTCTGCCATCAGGAGCCTGAGCATCCGTGAGGTCTCCCAGAGTGGGACAGCCGTGCTCCCCCTGCACCCCGTTCCTGAGCTCCACGGCCCGATACAGTAAGTGCAGCCTCAGGCAGGGCTGGATGGGTCTCCGTGCTCACCTTCCTCCTGGGACCCTTGCTCCGGTGTGACTGGGGAGGGGTCCCTGCAACCTGTCTCCTCAGCTACACCTGGACTTCATTGCATGGGCTCCAACATCAATGCTAGGATCAGCCCAATGTCCCATGTCCGCAGCTTGATTGTCAACTGCAGGAGGGGCGGTCAGAGCACCTTGGGGCCCTGTCGGTGTCCAGCCCCTTGGCCCTGCTCTGGCCCCTTCACCCCATGCAATGCCCCTGTTGCAGGGAGTACCAGATCATCGTCACTGTGGGGTCCAATGGCAGCGGAGCAGATGACTGTCTTGCACGGGACCTGCAACCATTTAATGCCAGCCAGGGGCACAAGGCATATGTAGCAGCTGTGGTCCCCACACACAACCTGACGGGCCCCATGGACTTCGTGCTAGGGGATGGGGTCTGTCGCGAGGGGTACTGCAATGCTCCCCTCCAGCTCGGCCAGAACTACACGGCCCTGGTCCGCGTCGTCAGCCGTTGGAAGCAGGTAGGTTCTGCCCTGGGGCTCCCCATGTCCAAGGCTGCATGAGTTGGTCCGTGACTGAGAGCTTGATGCTAGCCCTGGATTTGTGGGACCTAGAGGACCTGGGGGTTACAGGGTGGAAGAAGCTGGACACGAGCCAGCAGTGCACCCTTGGTGCCCAGAAGGCTATCAGCATCCCGGGCTGCATTGGTAGGAGCGTTGCCAGCAGATGGAGGGCAGTGATCCTTCCCCTTTATTGAGCACTGGGGAGGTCACATCTGGAGTCCTGTGACCAGCTGTGGGCCCCTCACTACAGAAAGGATGTGGACAAATGGGGGAGAGTTCAGCGGAGGGCAATGAAAAGGGTTGTGGGGCTGAGGATGTGGCGGGCCAGTAGGGGGTGCTCCTGCGTTAAGCCGCCCACCTCCCTGCGCCCGACCACCTTCCAGGCCCCGAGTGCCTCCCTGGGGTGCCTCCCGTCCGGCCAACCCCTTCCCTGGAGCACACCCGC